TAGTTTGACCACATGTTAAAATAAAAACCTGGAGTCACATTTCTGTGCAGTTCAAGGATTCAGATACACATTCACTCAAGTGAAGTTTTCTCTCTCTGTATTTTTGGATTGGGATCATAGCTGACACGCTATTATTTTCCAAAGAAAGGGGATGTTCTGTGGCTGGGAGACACACTACATTTGCCCCGTTCATCAGTAAACGCCATTGGGCCCCAGGACATCCATCAATTGGCACGAAAGAATCAGCAAAAGGAAGGAAAGTCATAAGTGAAAGATGTGACGTTCATGTTAGTTTTAGAATGGTGTATATGTCTAGGCCTGTTTATAGCATCAGCTTCAAAGACATGTAGAAGGCACCAGAAATATGGAAGCTCTAGGGTTTTTAGTCATTTCTTTAGAATGGCTCAGTTTTTTTCTAAAGAATAACGATGTAGCAATGTTAGAAATGAGCTGAATAAGACAGCTTTAGCAGGAAATAGAATGGAACCAAGGTGAAGCAGGGAACACTGGCAAATGTTAATAAAACAGAAACAGTTGTATAATAAACCTACCACTTTGGACAAGACTGGCACTTTTGTGGCAAGAAATCAGGGTACGAGCCATAAAGTAGGCTGTATGGTTTCACACTCCTGTGGAGCTGGAAATCTCACCATTTCATATTAGCCTCCCTCATGAAAGATTTACAAATATTGTATTTCAAATAATTGCTAAACTCTTGGAAATGTCTGAGATTAAGGAGTGTTTTTTTTAAGTTACTCCATATTTATGCTAAACGAAAACATCTTGAACTCTATGGGAATTTAAAAAGAATACAAGAATAAAAACAAACTGCTACAGGTTTATACATTTGGCTCATAACAGATATCAAGTAAAACAGGATGAGGGCCTGAAACCTTATAACCAGTTATATGATATTCACTGAATGAAATGGGGAAAGAGGCACCATGATGGATTTTTAAAAAATATTCGAAGAGTTGAAATGTTTCATGTGGAACAGATAGATTTTTCTGTATCAGCTCACTCAGGTAGAGCCAGGACCAGTGCATGTTAGCTCCAATAAAATAGATTTTTTTTCTAATAGTTACTTCTAAGTTACTGTCTAATATTCAGAGCAAAATTCAGATTAGGCTAGCTTAAGAGAAGTTATTAAAGAACCACAATAGAACAGTAGAAAATATTTTTTTAAGAAACTATGTCACTTATAGTAGCAGCAGAAAACTTCGGGTACGTAGGAATAAATTTAACAAAAGATGTGTGAGACCTCTGCATGAAAATGACAAAAGATTAAAGGGAAATAGTGAAGACGTCCCAAAGAAATGGAGCCATATCCCTTGTCCTTGGTTTGGAAGACTGGATGTTGTGAGGATGTCATTTCTCAGAACCAAATTGATATATACTCAGCAGTAATCTCCATCTAAATCCTAGCGTTTTTTAACAAACTGATTCTAAATTTTATATGAAAATGCAAAGAGATAAGGCTAGCCAAGGCAATCTTGAAGAACTAGACCACAGACATCAGGACACTTACAAAGTGATAGTAATTAAAACCTGTAGGTTGGTGTAAAGAGACCAGGGGAACAGAATGGAGAATCTGGAGACACATGTTTATATTCATGTTAAAGCTGGCATCATAGTCAAGTGGGGAAAGAGTGACCTTTTCAATAAATCATGTTCAGGGAATTAGGAATTCATGTGGGAAAAAACATCAGGAATGTCGATTCTTACCTCCCACCATACAAAAATAAATTTCAGATGGATTGTGAGGGTAAAACATCAAATACTTAGGGGAAAGCAGAGAAGACTAACTTTAGGACCTTGGGATAAGCAAAAATTTCTTCAGTAGACAAGGCACTAATTATAAAAGAAAAAAAGTAAGTTCAACTTTATCACAATTAAGAGCTGTTTGCCAAAAGACTGTATTAAGAGAGTAAAAAGGAAGTCAAGACTGGGAAATATTAATAATATTTCCAACAAAGAATTCCTGTCTGCAGTGTATCTAGATGACTTCTACAAATCAGTAGGAAAAGGACGAGATGACCAAATGGAAAAAATGGGCATAAAACATAAGTATTTCACAAAAGAGGTTCCCACATGGCCAGTTGAGCACGGTAAAAGATTCCACTTCATTAGTCACCAGACAGAGGCAATCCTGAGCACAATGTGATACCACAGCAAATTCACCAACATGGCTGAAATTAAAAAGATAGACAACAGCACATGTTATGAGGCTATAAAGCATTTATAATACTCTTACACTATTACTGGGTGCATATTGCACAACTGTTTGGAAAACTGGCAGGATCTGCTGTTGCTGGATGTCCACACACGCTGCAACCTCATATCCCCTCCACGGTCTGTATACACAACAGAATATATCCATGAGCTCAAGAAAGGGCATGTGCAAGAATGTTCTTAGGAGCACGGTTGGGGGCAGCAAATGTCCCCTTCATTCCAAATTAATTGTGGAATATCCAGAACAGTGAAGAACCATACAACAACGAGCAAGTGAGCTACACCCACATGAGCAAGCAATGCGGAGGAATCCCACACACGTGCTGTTGAGTGAGAAAAGCCAAACACCAAGGTTTTCATTGAAATGTAAGTCAGAAGCAGGCTGTAAAGACCCTGTGATGCTGGAGGTCAGGAAGGGGTCGCCCTGGCTGGCCGGGCGCGATTAGAGGGCTGGGAGTGCTGCCATGTTGTCTCTAGATCCCAGTGTTGGGTCCGTGGGTGTGTTCACTTTGTGAGAATTCTTTGAGCTGGACACTTAATGATCTGTCCACTTTTCTGTGAATCTTAACTCTTTAAAGAGAAAAAAAAAAAAAAAAACCTTGGGTCCCATATTGAACTTGAGTTGGAAGAGGCGAGTCCGGTCTCAAAATGGAGGGCCACGATCCAAAGGAACCAGAGCAGTTGAGAAGACTGTTTATTGGTGGTTTGAGCTTTGAAACTACGGATGATAGTTTAAGAGAACATTTTGAAAAGTGGGGCACACTTACAGGTAGTGTGGTAATGAGAGACCCCCAATGTTCCAGGGGTTTGGGTTTTGTGACTTACTCTTGAGTTGAAGGGGTGCATGCAGCAATGTGTGCCAGCCACACAAGCTTGATGGCGGGTGGTGGAACCCAAGAGAACGTTTCTAGGGAGGGTTCTGTAAAGCCTGGTGCCCATCTAACAGTGAAGAAAATGTTTGTTGATACTAAAGAAGACACAGAAGAATATAATTTGAGAGACTACTTTAAAAAGCATGGCAAGATTGAAACCATAGGAGTTACGGAAGACAGGAGGAGTGGAAGAAACTGTCTCATGATAAAATTGTTGTTTGGAAATACCACACTATTAATGGGCATAGTTGTGAGGTGAAAAAGGCCCTTGCTAAGCAAGAGATGTGGTCTGCTGGGTCGCAAAGAGGTTGTGGACGGAGGTGGATCTGGCAACTTCATGGGTCGTGGAGGAAACTTGGGAGGTGGTGGACAATGTTGGCCGCGGTGGAAACGTTGGTGGAAGAGGAGGCTATAGTGGTGGAGATGGTGGCAGCAGAGGTAGTTATGGAGGAGATGATGGTGGGTACAGTGGATTTGGAGGGGACGGAGGCATCTATACTGGTTATAGCAGTAGAGGAGGCTCTGGTGGTGGTGGAGCAGGATATGGAAACCATGGATGCAGAGGTGCTGGTGGAGGGATATGATGGTTACGCTGAAGGAGGAAATTTTGGAGGTGGTGGGAACTATAAAGATCTTGGAAATTACAGTGGACAACAGCCATCAAATTATGGACCCACGAAGGGGGGTAGTTTTGGTGGAAGAACCTCGGGCAGTCCCTCTGGTGGTGGTGGTGGTGGTGGATCTGGAGGTGGATATGGTAGCAGAAGGTTCTAAAAAAAATTCAGAAGGAAAGGGCTGCAGTTCTTATCAGGAGAGAGAGCGAGGAGTTGTCAGGAAAGCAGCAGGTTACTTTGAGGCGTTCGCCCCGAACGCATTAGAGGAACTGTAAAAATCCGCCACAGGAGGGACGATGACCCATAGTCAGAAAAGTTACTGCACCCTCAACAGGAACCCTTGTTCGGGACCATCGCAGCCACGGTTTGCAGAAGGTGCAGCTCTTGGTTAATGCAGCGTAGCCTCCGTGGGTGGACGTTCCTGAGCCTTTATCTGTTGTAGCTTTGTCTTTATCTTTTCATTACATCAGGCATTTCGCCCTGTAAATTGCGGTAGTGGTACCAGGAATAAAAAAATCAAGCAATTTTTAACTTTTAAAAAAACAACAAAAAAAAAACCCATAAAATATTTTTAGAGATACAAAGTAGCTTAAAATTTTCTCAGAGATCACGAAAGCCCAGACTCGAAGGATCACCGGAGCGGTGAGCGGGCCTGGGAGCAGAGGGGCATCAGTGCAGGGGGGGCCTTTCTTCTGGTGGCTTTGAGGAGGTAGTTTCCAGAAAGGGTTTACGTCCTAGAGGACCTTAAGGAGAGGATCGTCGACAAACGAGTCCCAGTGACGTAAAATCATTTGCTAAAAATTGGCTATCTGGGGGAGGACAGCAGTTAAATAGGTTTGGGTGCAGAAGGCCCGGCAGGTGCACTGAAGGCTGTGGCTGTGACTGTGACGTGCACAGGTACGGGAGTGACGGAGCGTGGGCCTGCCCGCCGACTGGTGTTGCTGCAAGGGCTCCATACCCTGAGCGGGCGCAGAGGCTTGGGTGCTGCCCAGGAAGTGCAGTGGGCGAGGCGGGGCTGGAAGGAGGCAGGGCTGCGATGAGGGCAGGAGGTGTCGCCACGGGGCCAGCAGCGTGGCCGTCACCTCCAGGACCAGGGCGGAGGCCGTGCATGCCAGGAGCAGCATTTCCTTCGTGGGTAGAGCCACGGTCCTCCGTGGGCCTGGAGGCGGCCTCCGACACCTGCGGGGGGCGGGTAGGAGTTGGGGACACAGAGTGGGGGCTCTGCTGCCACTGCTGCCTCTCAGCCCGTGACAGTGACGGCATCCGGTGTTTGTGTCGCCAGGTGCCCGGGAGGAGCCGAGCGCACAGCAGGCGCAGCGTCGATCAGCCGTCTTTCTGTCCTTCAAGTCCCCGATCCCGTGCCTGCCGCTGCGCTGGGAGCAGCAGAGCAAACTGCTCCCCACCGTGGCCGGGATCCCTGCCAGTAAGGTCTCCAAGTGGAGCACCGACGAGGTACATCTGCCCTGCTCGGGGAGAGAGCCTGGCTTCAGGGGCGGGGCGGGAATGGGGACAGGAGGGACAGAGATGGGGGGGGGAATGGGGATGGGGGGACGGGGATGGGGGATGAGGATGGGAGTATGGGGACGGGGGGACGGGGATGGGGGGACAGGGATGAGGGGACGGGGGCAGGCAGGGGGCCTAGTTTCCTGGAAGACGGGAAACTGCTCAGAGAGAAGCAGCTGAAACCTGTAGCTTGAGTGTTCTGGGCCTGTAGCACTTAGGTTCTGACTTTTTTCTGAAACTGGAATTCTTATCTGACTTTCGACAGGTGTCAGAATTCATACAGAGCTTACCTGGGTGTGAAGAGCACGGAAAGGTGTTTAAAGATGAAGTAAGTGGCCCGCGGCCCTCCGGGCGGCCTGGCAGGGGCCAGCTGGGCACGGCGAGCGGGCACAGGGCTTGGGGGGGAGGCGGGCTCGCTGTGCGCCTGGTCCCAGAGGCAGCCTTGGTTGTTCGTGTAAAGGTGTTTTCATACAAGATCCAATGCCCCGGACACGTCCGCACCATCCTACGATGTTCCACAGCCGGGGCCTACATGCTTTTTTTTTAAATGGGGGGTGGGGGTGGGGCCCGGGTGACCCGGTGGCCAGGGATCCAACTCCCGGTGTCGGCCCAGGCCGTGATGCTGGGGTTGCGGGTCCAGCCCGTGCACAGCCGGTCTTGCGCCCTCCTTACCAGCGTGCGGGTGCGTAGCCCATAGGAGCCAGCAACACTTTATTTTAGTAGTGTGGAATTAGCTCCCTTTATTTCACTTTCAAACGCCACGTTACCAGCGCCAAGATTAAAGTCACTGAACGTCGTCATCAGCACTACCGCTGTCGCTGGAGAGCCCCGCGAGTCTGACACCCGGGTCGGCTCCTCAGGGCAGGGGGAATCGGCCCTACGGCTCCTGTGGGTAACACGGCCTGAGGACGCGGGGGCTCCTGTCACCAGCCCTACAGAAGCCCCAGGCCCTCCAGTGCCTCCTCAGGGGGCCCTCGGGTCCCGGCGCGTCGCCTCGAGGCCCGGCCAGCCCAGAGCCCCACGGGGGTGTCGTTGGCGCCCATGAAGCCGAGCACCGGGCCTGGACGGCCTTTGTCCATGAGGTGCCGCCGTGCCCCGGCCGGGTGCCCGTTAAGACCCGCAAGGGCCTGACGTTCCGCGTCCTTGTTTTGGATCCTTGTTCAAAAGAAGAAGGTTCCCTTCCCCTTCTCCACTGACCTTTCACTGGTTACTCAGAGTGAGAGTCTCGTGACTCCTAAAGTCTCAGCATCTTCGCGGACGAGGCTCAGCTGATTTTCAGTCGCTGAGCAGATCCAGACGCCCCCCGGCAGCCGCCGTCCTGGCTTCGGAAAGAAGTCGTGTCGTCATTACCCGTGAGAAATGATAAGACGTTTTTAGAGATAAACACATGCTACATCCATTTTGTAGATTGTGCTTTTGGTCGTGTTCATAGCTGGACCACCCATGTGGATTTGCCCTGTTACTTACTTTTAGTAAGATCTTCATATTCAAAATTCCAAATTCAACTATGTTGTCTCCCGGACCGCGTTTTCTCTCCGTGGCGTCTTGTGTCTGGAGATGTTCCTCAGGCACCGGTACCCTCGCTGTCCTCCCTGTGAACTTGCGGTCCACCTGTACCAGTCACGGCTTCGTCCCTTTATTCCTTCGTCCTCTAAATTCTTGTGAAAGTCGTGTCTCCCGGGCTTAGCAGGTATTGGTTTTAAGGTCTGGAAGCAAAGCATGAAACCCGCCCAACTAACATCTAGTGACATCTCTAGGAGGCCCCGTACGGGTGTCAGGACGGCTGTTCTGCGAGCCATGCTTGGCTTCCCTCCGAAACACTCCACGTTTAATCTGTTGAAGATCCTATTGGGTGTACTTTAAAGACATGTAGGGATTCGGGCTGTTTCCCTGCTGAACCAGCAGCACCCGCGCTCGGGTCTGAGCCACCATCCTCTCCCACCAGGGCTACTGCCGCAGCCTCCTCTCCAGTCTCCCTCCTTCTGTCTTTGCTCCCCCACGATCTGTGAACTCTTCCCAGCCTCGCCGGAGTCATCCTGCCAGAGAGGTGCAGTCATGTCAGCGTTCCATCCATAGCACTCCAGTAGTAAGTCAGGATGAAAGCAGAAGCCCTCCCAGGCCTGCAGTCCAATGCCCCATGCCCTCCAGAGAGGTGGGAACCTCCTGACCTCTGTGTCCTCCCTTCCACACGCTGGTCCCCTTGCCGTTCTTCGATCGTCCGGGCACACCTGGCTCTTCCTCCACATGGTCACGTGGTGCAGTCCCTCTTCTCGGGGGCGGCTCCTTCCCAATCATCCATCCTTGCCCCTGTGCCCCGTCATCCCCACTGAGCTGTGTCCTCAGTGCGAGCACTAATCACCTTGTACGATGTATTAGTGTCACCTCATTACTGATTAATTTGCTTTTCTCTTGTATGTTCTGCTTGCAGTCAGTCTTCCGCTTCTAGGATGTGAACCTCACAAGGAGTTTTGGTTGCCTCCCTTGCTTGTTTTTGCCTGTATCTGTTGTAGCTTCTGCTGTGTGCCCAGCCCCAAGAAGAGTGTCTGGAATAGGATAAACGCCTTTGTTGAGTGAGCATGCTCCCACCTTTACCCTCTGAGGAAGACCCCCAAACAGCATGGCCCTGTGATCTGCAGAGCTACAACCCTGAGGAAGGAACCAGGGTGCACAGTGCAAAGAGCAATGAGATACAAGGCCAGGACCCCAAGCTCCAAATCCTCCTTCGGAGATTTGGGCCTTTAGCAAGATGTGTCATCTCTGGAGTTAGACCAGTTCATATACGTTACAAAAGCAAAAAACAAAATAACAACGACAAAAAACAAGCCCGTTATTACCTTGCAGTGATCGCTGTTCTTAGAATTTTCTCAAATTAAGCTTCCTTCCTTCCAATGCGGCGTGCCGGTGTGGCTGCATGCTGGAGCAGCCTGTGTGAGCTATAGTGACCTCAGGGTGACCTTTCCTTCCTCGTGTAACCTTGAACACCCTCCCTTCTCACCCGACTCTGGTGTTCAGATTCCATCGTTGCCTCTCTCAGTTTCCTGTCATTAGTCGTCTGTCATGATACATTCTTACAGGGTCTCTGTGGGAGGCTCAGTAGGGCCCAGGGTTCTAGGAGACAAGTCTATCTTTGTGATGGGCTCTTTGGGAACCCATCTGTCAGTCAGCATTTCCATTCATGACTTGGAGGACCTCAGCCAGACCGTTGATTCTGCTGAGGCCTGCCTTTGTGCGCGGCTTTGCTTGATGGGAATTAGGCAACTGTTTCCAAATGATTCTTAAAAGTCGCATCGGATGACCCTAGTTCTTTTTTTTTTTTTTTAAAGATTTTATTTATTTATTCATGATAGTCACAGAGAGAGAGAGAGAGAGAGGCAGAGACACAGGCAGAGGGAGAAGCAGGCTCCATGCAGGGAGCCCGACGTGGGATTCGATCCCGGGTCTCCAGAATTGCGCCCTGGGCCACAGGCAGGCGCCAAACCACTGCATCACCCAGGGATCCCTAGTTCTTACTGATGAAGAGAGTTTACAGATTTGTCATATCTTTAGAGAAATGAAGAAAATCTTATACAGCCACTAAATATTTCAGCCTTTGTTTGGTGAACTATTCACAGAATTGGCTTGCCCCAGCTGCCATGACCAAGAGCCACCAACCCGCAGTTTAGGCAGTGGAAATGTATTGTCTCCCGGGTCTGGGGCCTAGAGGCCCACAGGCCGGGAGTCTGGGTGTTGACAGGGTAGCTTCCTTCTGAGGGCGGGAGAGAGGATCTGTTTCAGGCCCCTCCTTGGCATGTTGCTGGTTTTCTGTCTTTGTCTTCACGTCATCTTCCCTCTACATGTGTCTGTCTCTGCGTGTGAGGCGGAGGGCAAACGTGTGTTTTCCTTTTCCTTTTTTTTTTATTTTTTAAATATTTATGTATTTATTTATCTATTTATTTATTTTCCTTTTTGTGTAAAATGGGAAAACTGAAAGAGACACAAATTATTTTTTTAAAGTTGGTGGAATACTCCCAAACCTGAAAATTTTACAGAAAGACCATTCCTTTGTTCTGTCCACTAAACTAGACATCATCTTCTTCAGAGCTGTACCTCTGAGCCTCAAAGCTTTCTCTCCTGTACCAGCACAGAATTTTAATCTCAGAAGAGACCTGAGAAGGGAAGGCTGTTTCCCATGGCCGCCCCACCTAGTAGAAGAACCAGCATAGTCTACACTTCTTCACACCACATTTGCCACTTTCACTGATGCGTTTGCATCTATGCTGTTGCTTGCCCCTGTTATAAAATTTTAAAAATAATTAGTTTGCCCTTGTTAGTAGCTGCTCTTTTTCTGTATATGAAGAGTAATCGTGGCCACTCTAAAAATGAATGTTATTTATCACTGTTTTTTTCTTCATTATGGAAAGCTAATTTAAAAAAAAATGTTAGCATGCAGCCAACATACCTGCCTGAATTCCTTTGTTTATATCCACAAACAGCTGTGTGCTGCTTCTCATCTGTCATCCTAAAATCTACCAGAATGGGAACTGGATCTGAGGCATCCAGAGTCTTCCAAGTTCTTCTTGACTCGTTGCCTAAGTCAGGGTAATTACAGGGAGATATGGGCATCTTCCATTTCCTGCAGGCCGATTTTTCAGACAACTGAGTTTTTACTTTGCTTCCAGTCCACATTTGGTTATTGTAGATAAGAAAAGATCATTACTCAGGAAATGTTCACACACGTGAACTCTTGTCTGTGCCGTTCTCGCGTGGCTCTCAGAAGACAGCTGATAACTCAACTTTGGCTATTTGTCACGACACCACATGCAATTAATTCATAATCTTTTTTTGTCTTTTCGTCCCATTTTAGCAAATCGACGGAGAAGCCTTTCTGCTTATGACCCAAACAGACATTGTTAAGATTATGAGCATTAAGTTGGGCCCTGCTCTCAAAATTTTCAATTCTATCCTGATGTTCAAAGCTGCTGAGAAGAACTCTCACAATGAACTTTGAAGATGGTGAATTTTGAATACCATCAGCTTTTCTGCTTTAAAGCTCATGTTTTATTCAAAGCACAAGGACAGTTATAACTCCTATGCGAGAAGTCTCCAAAACTCGAGAGCGATGCTATCAGATTATTTATATTCCTCAAGAGACAGTATATACGAATCCTTATGAAAATGCTTCGGCTTTTAACCAAGTACTGTCTAACAGCGGTCATCCTTTGGTTCTGTTCACTGAGCTGAATTTATCTTTGTACATCTTTTTGAGGCTGGGGGTGGGGTGGGGGGGAAGGGGACTTCGTTAATTATTTATGGTAAAAGGGGGGATCAGAGTAAGAACTTTTGGCATTTTGTAAACATTGTTGAATTCTCTTTCATGCACACTGTTTCTTTTTCAGTACTTTCAGAAACCTTTTTATATAATCCAACTTCAACTTATACCAAATTAGTCAAAACCTGGCTGAGGTTGGCCAGTGGGACTGTTACCTGTATTATTCATTCTGTGCCATATTTTGAATTGCAACATTATGCTGACAATAACTTTGCAAGTCATGATACTGCCTAACTGCTTGTCATAATTTGTTGGGGCCGAACGGTGGTAGAGATTACTTTTCCTTAAATCAGTGTTTTTACTTTTGCACGTATTATGAAATGTTAAACAAATTACTTTTCACCAGCATCTTTACTATAATTACCAAAAACGTGTATATAAATAATGGAACTGAAAAATAAAATATATAAATAAATTAGGCGATGTATTTGAATGGCATCAGTCTTCTACGTTGTGGTGCCCTATGTATTTACAAGAGTCCAGTGGTATCAAAGGAATATGCAGTTCTATTGGGGGGGGTGTCTTTGTAAGGATCTTGAACTATTTATGAGATGATCTTGAGCTTCTCTCTAATTGTAGGTGAAGGAACTGTGGTGCTTTGTGGAGCTGAAGGGGTCGTTCTGTTGCTGGAAACACTAATCCGTAAAGCTCTGTCCCGGATCTTCTTCCTCCAGACCCAGAGGTTTTCTTGGGGTTGGCTGGAGAGAGAGTATATGGATTTTACTGAAGAGGCAGGGTGTTGTGAGCGAGCAACACCAGTCAACACAAAGATTCTAAATGCTCACAGATCCAGGAGGCAACTTCCCAAAGCAGTTATGCAAGAACCTCCGTTTTAGAAAGATTCCTTTCTCTAGAAGGGTTCACCGAAGTTTTATAAATGTACAGGTGCACTTTAGATGAAAGCCCTTGATTACCTATGAACTGATAGCAGTCGTGTTTCTTTTGTGAGAATGCCTTTCCAATACAAAAGGTAAATGATTTTATCAGGCTTCAGATATAATGTCTGCTTCTAGGATTGGCCATTTATTCGAGAGCTATTATAAAAGTAGGAAGCACGTTTGTAGCATGCTGTCTGAATTCTGGGGCAAGTTCACCTCTCTTCTTAGTTGCCCTCATTTTTTCTGATGTAGGACTTCCTTTGATGTACCCCGTGGGGAGTCTATTAGCAGGCCTTTGCATTTGTTATAATTCAAAAGGGCCATGGCATCTACAGTGTCCCTTTCATTTCTTTGCATGAATCCACTTAGATAAATTTTTTGTTTTTGGGTTTTTTTTTTGTTTTGTTTTGTTCAGAATTTGTACATTCGAGTTGCACTATTATTATATCTGACATGAATGAAATAAAATCTTAATTGCAGATGCTTTTTTTTTACATTTGTAATTTTTTTTTTTTTTTTTTTTTAGAAAGCTTGTTAAACAGGCAAATGAGAGCAGAACCAATGTTGAAGATTTGAGCATTACCTCATTCTGTAATGAATCCACTGGATTCAAAATTGTCAAACTACGTCCCAGGCGATGGAAAGAATGACAGTACATAAGTAAGTAAATAAGAGATTTTTTTTAAAGATTACAAACACTGTGTAAGTCAAATTGGACCTGTCTGCAGGTTGAAATATAACCACAGGCTGCCATTTTGCAACTTCTGGATTCAGTAGACTCGGCCTCCAAAGAAAACAGACTTAGGTGAGTCAACAATAGGAGTATTTACCAAGTGGCAGGGCCATCGGAGCCCTGGGGACAGATGTGCCACGGAGAGACAGTAAAGCTTACGTGTATTTGCCCTCACGTTCAGCTCCTGTCTGCTGCTGTGCTTAGGGCCAAACCTCTCTGCGATGTCCCTGCAGCACCACCCCTGTCTTTCCCCAACCTCTGGGAATAGAGAGGGGCTCTCACTGACCTTTAGCCGCAGAGAACATGTACTTCCCAAGGAAAGGAAGCTTTAAGAGTTTGGTAAATTCAGTTGGGGGAGGGAAAATAAGACAGATTATGGAACTAAAGGGAGAGTAGAGAAATAAAGGAAAGTTTGTAAGGAACTAAAGGCACATTCTAATGAAAGGCACGTCCCAGCACTGGTTTGAGTAAGGTTGACAGTGCATCGACCCCGCCTGTCCCCATGATGCAAGCAGTTAGTGCACAGTCATTGTGGGGTGGGCAGCTGATCGAACCTTCATTTTTTGTCTCACTAACTTACCATTTTAAAGAGCAGTGCTTATGGAGAAAGAGGCATTAGAATAAGTATTTGCAGAATAAGTATTTCCAGAGATATAGGTCCTGAAAAATAGTTTTTCAATAATTCCTATGAGCTCCTTTCTTCTTAAACTTAAAAAATTAATTTGAGGTACCCCCAGAAATGCCCACTGCATTGTGATGGACGCATTAGGACACTTAAAGCTCTTTGGCCTCTATACCAATCTGTTTTGTCTAAACTGATAAGTCATGTGGATACTGTGATGATGATTATCAAGAAGCGTCTCAGAACTGTAGTGTTGTCATTGTTGTCATTGTCTTTATAAAATACTTAGAGTGCACTGAGTCTTGTCAGACCTAAGAAGTACTTAGGTACTGTCTCTAGGAACAGAACAAATGGAATTTCAACATGAGATTCTGAGCTGGGTGCATGAGGAGCCAGGACCTGGGCTTCTGAGATAGCAGGAGAGCAAGTTGAGGAAGGGGCTGAGCCAAAAACTAGAAACTGGTGCCCATGGGCAGCCCCAGTGGCCCAGCGGTTTAGCGCCGCCTTCGGCCTGGAGTGTGATCCTGGAAACCCGGGATCGAGTCCCATGTTGGGCTCCCTGCATGGAGCCTGCTTCTCCCTCTACCTGTGTCTCTGCCTCTCTCTCTCTCTCTCTCTCTCTCTCTCTCTCTCATGAATAAATAAATAAAATCTTAAAAAAAAAATAAAGAAACTGGTGCCCAGAAGGCTCTGGGACTGACAAGTCAGGTCCATATTTACAGACCAAACACACCTGAGCAGCAGCGAGGGCACATCCCCCACACTTTACATCAAAGCCAGGGGAAAGTAGAAACGGCATGAGGAGATGAGTGGGACCATCACTGTATGTCAAGGGAGGGAAGAAGATCAGGACCTGTGCCAGTGAGATCCCGTCATCAGTGAGGAGACCTCAGGAACAAGGCTGCCTTTGTTCTCAACAAATGTGATTGAAAGAAACCAAAAAGCTTGGCACAGGCAGGTCGGCTTAGGGCAAGAACTAGAGAGTATGTATATCTCCTTAGAATTTTCGAGATCAAAATGTTTCCAAGCCATATTGAGACCATAGAGGAGCCCATAGGCCACAAAAGTACAGCCCCCAGGTATTACATCTCCTAAGGGTAGGCACACTGGGGCAACTGCAAGGGATCATATGCTAATCAAAGGAGTCGAGTGTATCTGAAGTGTAGGGTTTTTCAAAAACTAAAGCACTCTTGAAAGTGTAGCTTGGGAGGCCCCTGGGTGTCACAGTCAGTTGAGCACCAACTCTTGGTTTTGGCTTAAGTCATGGTCTCAGGGTCATGAGATCGAGCCCTACATTGGGCTCCGTGCGCAGTGCAGAGTCTGCTTGAGATTCTCCTTCCTTCTCCCTCTGCCCCTCCCACTTATGCATGTGCTCTCTCTTACTCTCTCTCAAAATAAATAAATATTTTTTAAAAAGTGTAGCTTGAACCATGGAATTTCTTAGAACTCAAACAGCTCTTTAACATAGTATTTTATTACAGGATTCCACAAAGAATTTTCAGTATCTAATCATAAAGATAGAAGGTACGAGATCATTTGCATCTTGGAGACAATTTTCTAACAACTACCTCTACGACAATGCTAAGTCAAAACAATTTTTTCAATAAAATTTTAGCTGTCCTAGAGATCAATTCTGATTCAATATTTGGCATGCCATTTCGTAACTGGATGTTGAAATCCTATTGCCTTTATCTTTTCTTTCGTAGAAGGAAAGTAGGGACGGTGGATATCAAAAATAAGTGTCTCTAGGAAGTTGAGAGTTTGGGACAGTCTTCTTGGACACTCAACTCCAAATACATGGAAGGCAGCTATGAGTGCAGCCAAGGCTGTAACACAGTCGTCTACCCTTGTGAGCTTCTCTTTTTCTAAATACAAAGAAAATTCACAGACATCAATGTTGAAAGGATTCTTGACTTCTAACACGGGTGTGGAAACTTGCACCTGAGAAAAAGGATAATAGAGTCACCACTGTCTGATAAGGAAAGTAGTAAATACTAAAAGATGCTTCAACCACAACATTACAGTAAATGAGCTTGTTGTACTGCAGCATATTTGTAAATATGACCAAACCGTATTTCAAAAGAGACTATCACCCTGTTTTCAAATAAGCTGTCTTAGGAAGATGTAAAATGTCAAACCCAGTGATCACGGAAGTACTGCATACCTTCTCATTCACAATGACAAACAGGCTGGGATCATCCCCAAAGACATCTGGTAGGAGCAAACATGTGGCTGTCATCTTCATATCTGCCAAAACAAACGTGCTTAAAGTCCGAGTAAAAATAATGTCTTGCCAACTAATAAGCAAAAGCCAGTCTTAAAACATGGTGTTGTTTTTTTAAAATCATTTGCTTCTACAGATAATAAACCAGTCTTCTTGCATCAGTGTTTCACAATCGTTTAACTAACATCTCGTGTTCTGCCCTCCAGGTCATGACCAGGAGAAGATAAGAGTCCTGTAGTCTCTGTCCATCAGCCAGGAAGATTTTAGTATGCTTTACCTTGTGATTGGTATTATGAAATTAACAGGTTACTAGTTTTCTAAATATAATTTTATAATATCAATTGTACTTTTAATTCTATACCTCAGCTCCTCCTATTCGAGACATTTTTTTTTATCCTGCATGTTGTTTCACTGAATTACTTATTTCCAAAACAGAGCTTTTCTAAGTATCCTAAATTATACAGATAACTAAGATGAGATTGTCCCACCCCCAGGTTTACTAACGTTTCAACATGTCTTCATCTGTGTGCTATTTCATTTTTTTCTTGCAATGCAATACTGATTGGATTGTCCACCACTGAAAAAGAAGCCAGTATATTTTCTGAATAGGATTCCAAAATGTGCTTTGTTTTTTTATAAACATCTGTTCTTGTAAGAAGTTGGAATTCTCTGAACATCTAGAAAAAAGAAGAAAAAGATTACAAGAAAAATTAATGTATAGGGATCCCTGGGTGGCGCAGCGGTTTGGCGCCTGCCTCTGGCCCAGGGCGCGATCCTGGAGACCCGGGATCGAATCCCACGTCGGGCTCCCGGTGCGTGGAGCCTGCTTCTCCCTCTGCCTATGTCTCTGCCTCTCTCTCTCTCTCTCTGTGTGACTATCATAAATAAATAAAAAAAAATTAAAAAAAAAAAATTAATGTATAGAATGTAAGGGAGTAAATAACTCTTTGGGATTATATTA